TATAAAAATCAAAGAAAAACCAAAGATGTTTGAAGTGATATTAGAAGCACAACCGCATCACTAGTCTAGACAGATAATACAACTCCACTACTAGCTCCCTGTGAAAATTCGATCCCGAACCACTATTCGGGTAAAAGCTATTGCGACCCGCTCTTCCTACCTTAGTGTAGTGTCGAGTCGGCAGCGATCAAGTTCTCCCACACAAGGTTAGGCAAGCCACTTACCTCGAACCAAGCTTAATCAATCCGAAATCACGCCCTTGCCACGAGTATCCGACTCCGAGTGGTCCAAATCTAATCACATCAATTTCATAATGTAAATATAACTACAAACAATGAGTTTAGCTAAAGGAATCGAAGCTAAGGTAAGAAAATAGAAAAATGCCCAAAAATCCTCCCCGGGCCCATGTCTCGGAATCGGGTAAAAATTACGGATTATGAACACCCATTCACTCACGATTCTGACGATACCAAAATCTCGATCAAAATCCCAAAATTCGGCCTAAGAACTTTTCTCAAATTTTCTCAATTTTTCACCCCAAATTCGAAATTTAACGATGACTTTAAGCTTAGATTAATGGGATACAATCAAAAAGGAGTTAGGAATCACTACCCACTGATCTTCTCTTCAAAATCCCCACAGAATCGCCTTCCCCCGAGATCCAATTTGATTTTTCAAGTTATGAACTCAAACCCTCGATTTTCATATTACTGCCCAGCGATTCCGCTTCTGCGAGGGGTCCACTGCACCTGCAGTCCCGCTCCTGCGGCTCCTACTCTGCACCTGCGGATTTTTATTAAACAACTTGATTTCGCACCTGCGACCCTTTACTCGCAGATGCGATTCCGCTTTTGCGGTCCTTGGGCCGCATCTGCGACCAGCTTCACTTGTGCCTTAGACCGCATCTGCGGTTCCCAGCCCGCTTCTGCGGCACTGCACCTGTGGTCCAAACTCCGCATGTGCGAAACCAACAGGTTCAGCAACTTCAGCAATTGCCTAAGTCCAAATCAACCTTCGTTAAGCATCCGAAACTCACCCGAGGCCGCCGGGACTTCAACCAAACATGCCAACCAATCCTAAAACATCATACGAACTTATTACAATCCTCAAATTACATCAAACAGCGCTAAAACCACAATTCACCCTCCAATCCAAGCCTAACGAACTTGAAATCTCAAGAATTCTACAACGATGACAAAACCAACCAAACCAAGTCCGATTGACCCTAAATTTTGCACACAAGTCACATTCAACACTACGAAACTATTCTAACTTTCGGAATCGGATTTCGACCCCGATATCAAAATTTCACTATCGATCCGGAAACTTCAAAAATTCAACTTTTGGCATTTCAAGCCTAAATAAGCTACGGACCTCCAAAACACCATCCGAACACGCCCTTAAGCCCGAAATCACCCAAAGGAGCTAACGCGCCGTATCCACACTATTCTGACTACGGTCCAAATTCTAAAGCTTAAGCTCTCATTTAGGGACTAAGTGTCCCAAAATACTCCGAAACTCAAAACGAATCTTCCTGACAAGTCACAATAGCAGAAATAAATACGGGGGAAGCAGTTAATAGGGGCGTTAATTCTCAAAACGACCGGCCAGGTCGTTACACGAATCCTAATAGGCGACCAACTATGTGTTCATGTCAAATATAATCGACCATTTAATGACCTAAGAAACTCTTTTTTTCTTTCATTCAATTGCCCTGGCCAAGATCTTAATTTGGTCATTCTATTATTCATGACGACACGGAGCTTAAGCTCATTACCAAGAGTTGACAGATTCCATCTTGACCAATCACTAATTCTACAAGTATTTAACCGTACCCAATATCCTTTCAACTATCGCCCTAGGGCCATAGGTGTCTAGTATCAAAGCACAATAAATAACTTGTCAATTACTGTGACGATCTCAGGTCAAAGAAAACTCTTACATCACATTCTTCAAGAGAATATCCTATTGACAGTTTATGGTAATTCTAACCATTAGAAATTATCCAATGAACCGGTTCAATGCTCATATCGCTATATGCATCATCTATCTATGTGATTTAGTTAATGAGATCAACTAGTCTCTATCCAATAAAGACAATCACATAAATATTGATCTAACTGGATTACTAATGTCCAAATTAATAATCCTATGATCAAGAACAAATTTAGACTAAATTATAAGAAACTTCACTCTCATTATCATGATCTCCATCACAATGTCAAGTCTTAAAATTTAATCAAGCACCTTATCAAGTTAATCAAACAATTAATAATAACTATGATAAAAGAATATCTGATGCCATATATTTTTATATCAAATAATGTTCACAAAAATATGTTCAAATCATCAAATATGAAATTGGATCTAGGGCATATCTACTATATCCCTAACAAACCTAGACAATTTGTACGGTTAATATCAGTGTTTTAAAAGGCTTGGGCATAAGGTGCATGGGTGAATTTATAGGAAAAATAATGGGGCACGTGAACTCATGGTCTCTCCGCTAAATTAGATATTTTATATACATATTTTTAAAAATTGGTATAATATTAATTATTGGCATTCATGCTCTAAGAAAGTTGAAGGTTGAGTTATTTACCAAGAGGAAGAGGGCATCAATTCCCACTTAATACATTCTTATAACCTCCTTTTTTAGTAGTGCACCCATACACTAAAAATCCTAGATCCACCTCTGGTGAGGCGAGGCATTTTATCTAACACGGGGCTAGGTATTTGATTATTACTATTTTATAAATAACTAATATATAAATATAAAAAAAAATATTTTAATTATCAAACATCAATAAAATTATATGTTTAGTAGGAAAAAGTATATATCTATTATAAACATGATAACATATGCACGAACATACAAAAAATATTTTTTTACTTGAAAAAATAAAAGACGTAAAGATTATACCTATAACATGACTATGATGAAATAATACTTAGAGTTGTAAAAATGATATTCTAGTTTCTAATAATTCAAACAATAAAAATTATAATAATGTAAAATTATTATTTAAAAACATAAATTTAGATAACAAATCTCGAAAGCTCATTATAATACAAATAGACATAATAGAGTCTTCAAAATAATATCTAAAGTAGAATGATACCAAAGGAAATTCTAAAGCCAAAAACTAACTTGAAAGGAATAAATTAAAAAAATGAAAACAAAAAACAAACTTGAAGAAAACGAAGCATAAAGAATGAAAAAAAAAAAAGCCTTGAAGAAAATGAAGCATAAAAAAGGAAAATGCCAAAGTGGAAGCAGAGTGAGAATTAAGGACAAAACTCTTTACTTTTGTAGTTTGTACTTTGGAGATAAAGGTCTAAAGTGTATCTGTTACTACTTTGTAAACAACAAAGAGAAAAGAACATGAAATTAGGATAAACATTAGAAAAAACCTTTGACTTTTGATATTTTTAGTTTTAGAATTTACTATGAGTTAACTTTTGAATATTTAAGTTTTTTTTTTTTTAAAAGTATTTATTTAGTAATTCTGGCTCAAATTTGGAAAAGTTTTCGAGGCTTACGTCCAAAATGAGCGCCAAGAACGTCAGGACTTATGCCTACACGAACGTTTCGGAAGGTTGGGGCTTACTCCTCACGATACTTACGCCCAACCAGAACGCCTCGATGCGTTTTTAGTACGCCTCGCCCTGAGGCTCGTCCAGCGGCTCGCCCAAAAAATACCTTTTAAAACACTGGTTAATACTTTTCAATCGGGTGTTTATACATAACTAGACAATTAACCTTAAAAATCAACACAATCAAAGTGAAAATACAATCACTTAACCATAGTAAACGTTCTAAAGAATATATGCAAGACATATATCTTATATTTATTTGTCTTGTGTAAACATTATAACCATTTGGTAACCATATAACAAACTGTATTTCTTAAAGATGGAGTAAACATTTACAGTCAGACATCTCATAACAACATCCATATATAACAGTCATTCACTATAAAAACCAAGCTTTCCTCAAAACGAATTTTTTAAGTTATATTTTACCTCTCTGCAATAGCTTTTTACCTATAACAGCTATATCCATATTTATACCTGAACGCTCTTTGTAAAATTACCGCTCTATAACATCCATATAGAATCTTTAAGATTACTAATAATAATTCTAAAAATATGCACACAATCTTTTCCATTAAACAAAGTTTCTATCTTGAATAAGATATAAGATTTGAAGATTTGGTCATGATATCTTTTACATTGGACAAATTTCAAAAAATATTTAGATTGAAAATTTAATATTTAAGCTCTTAGATTGTTTTCAAGGAAAATCTATTGGATACATTTTTGCTAAAAATTTGAACACGAATCTTCGCCAATTAAAGCGTTATATCGCTAGTAAGAGAATGAAATCTACGAAAAAAACTACAATTACAAAGTTCTTCCATCAATCTTGAAAGAATTTATTTTTTTAGGTGACTTTAAAATGTCTGCCTTAGAGTTTAAATCTTTATACGTTTAGTTATAAATTTATTTAATAATGTATTAGTTTTCTTCAATATTTAACTAGTGAAATACGCATATATTTTGATATTTTAAATATTGAATAATTTTCTTATCTTTTATATGTAACGTTAAAAAAAAATAATTAATTTTTGAATAATTTTTATCTCTAACAGCCAAAAAAAATTAAACGCCAAAGAGGGTTGACTGTGTATGTGATATATATAAAATGTACGTTGGTGTATGTTGACTCTATCCTCACAAATAAAGAACTTATATATACAAATATATTAATCATATTTCAGTCATAATAAAAATTAAAGATTTATTTAAAATGTCTATCTGACTATTGAAACAACTTTAGAAACTACTACTCTTATATAAATCGGGAACAGATTACAGTAGGTCAGTAGTTACCTACTTGTAGTAAAACTAATAATATCTGTACGTAACGCCTCTTATTAGTAGTTGTTTGCCTGCCACGTGTCAATCCATGATGTAATGTCCGATACTAATAGCCATCTCACTTCTCTCTCATTCACACACACACACAATCACACAGTAGGAAAGGAAGCAAGAAAAAATGGAAGAAATAAAGCATAAATTCATAGAAGTGAATGGGGTGAAACTTCACGTAGCTGAAATTGGAAATGAATCTTCTCCAGCTGTTGTATTCTTACATGGATTTCCTGAAATATGGTATTCTTGGAGATACCAAATGATAGCTATGGCTAAAGCTGGTTTTAGAGCCATTGCCTTTGATTATAGAGGTTATGGTTTGTCTGAACAGCCAAAAGAACCAGAAAAAACAACATTCTTGGATTTTGACAATGACCTCCTTGGACTCCTCAATGCTCTTAGCATTCCAAAGGTACCATCTTTTTTTATATCTTATTGCAGTTAATCTAGATTCGCGTTGCGTAGGGCTCATTAAAATACTTTCCTACTAGGAGTTACTTTATTTTCAGGCTCGAGTTTTGGTTAAGGGGAGAACTTTCTCTGGTTACATGTTACAAATATGAAAAATCTTGTTTTTACTTTGCTGTGTTAAAAGTCAACAGTTCACGGGTTCGAGCCATGGAAATAGCCTCTTGCAAAAGGCTACGTATAATAAATCAGTGTGGTCCGACCCTTCCGCGGATCTGCGCACAGCGGGAATTTAGTATACCGGACTGTATGTGTTAAAAAGTCAACTCTAGAGCAAATTTCTTTTAATAGAATGGATCTAGACTGTGTTAGCTGCAACAAACACTCAGGCCCTTCAAATCTGTTTATGGGAGAGAAAGATAGAAAGAGTTTTTTCTTGGGGGGTGGGGGTCAGGGGGTGGGGGTGTGGCTCTGTGAGGTCAATGTTAACAGGTTAAAAGAAATACAAAAATGAGGAAATTTAGGGGTATTAGATAGTGGTTGAAGAGGCTGAGGTTCCATCACTTTAAAAGATATTTTATGGATCAAAATATGAAATAATGAACTTCCTTGTGTAACCTTTCTTTTCTGCTAGGAATATTTATTTTCAGTTGAATCAAATAGTAATTTTTTTATTTAAAGTCCGCAGAGGATGGATAAAGATTTTTGATACAGACATTGTAGTTTAACCTATTATATCAGGTTAGTTATCATTTTTGTCAGATTACCAATTACCTTGTAAGCGGCTTGATTTTGTAAATATTTTCTATGCTGTCGGTGCATAATACTCAAACTCATCTTGTATTAGTTCAGCGTTCTTGAAATAAGGATGTTCAAGTTTTGCTTGTGAAGAATATTGCAAATTCATGATTCCAGAAATTCAAAGATTGGGTGTCTTGAAATAAAGTTGTCTTTAAGTAGACTATTCTCTCCTAGGAGTCAACATTTGTCGGTCAAAAACTTGGTGACTCCGTGCTCGTTATGTAGAATATCTGTAATGAGATATGTTAGCCGACCCCAAATTGCTTCGATTGAGGCGTAGTTATTGTTGTACTAACCAATATTGGCAGGAGAAATACTTTGTAAAGTGAATTACTCAGCTCTCATACTCTCTCTCTCCCTCTCTCTTTCATCCTCACAAATGTATGTGCTCGCGCGTTTATGTAGGCTTTTCTCGTTGGTAAAGATTTTGGAGCTTTTGTTATTTCCTTATTTGTCATTCTGCATGAGGAGAAGGTCTCTGGATTTGTTACCATGGGGGTGCCATTTATGCTCCCAGGTCCATCCGACTACGACAAATACCTTAGCGAAGGCTTCTATATTTCGAGATGGAGGGTATGGTTTTTTCTTTTGTGATATTGTGCTTCTTTCAAAATAACCTATTCTGGCTGCCTTCAACATCTATTTGAGATTCTTTTTCCAGGAGGCTGGGCGAGCTGAAGCTGATTTTGGTCGATTTGATGCTAAAACAGTTGTAAAGAAAATCTATATCCTCTTCTCTAGAAGTGAAATACCAATAGCTGACGAAAATCAGGAAAGTTTGGATTTGGTTAAACCAAGCACTCCTCTGCCCTTTTGGTTCAACGAAAAAGATCTTGCGATGTATGGAGCTTTATACGAGAAATCTGGATTCCAGACCGCTTTGCAGGTTCCTTATAGGTAGCCAAATGCTTGTATTCCTATGACTTGGTAGGATCTAGAGTCAGTGAGTTCAGTACGAGGTGATCTTGTTATAAGTATTCATTTTAAAATTTCTGCATAGTGAATACGTTGTTTGACACGAGTTCAGTCGCACAACTCACTCTAGATCCACCTCTAAACTAAAACTGGCCTCTGAGACAGAGCCAGGATTTCAATTTTATGAGTCCTGAATTTCAGAACGACAACTTCAAGTACTAATAATTGGGTTAGTATTTGTACATGTTTGATGAGTTTTTTAACAGAAGTATACTATTTGAGCAAAAGCTATTGGGTTCGGCCGAATCCATACTCGGGCTTCTAGCTTCGCCTCTAAATGACATGCCACAATTATAACTGGATCCATGAAACTGACAATAGGAGATGTTCAGTTGTCACAAATATTTTTGTTTTATGCAAGTTGTTCTCGCATCTTGTGCACATAGCGGGAGCTTAGTGCACCGGGCTGCCCTTTTCTTTTTGTTCTCACAGCGTGTTCTAGGTAGATAATTGCAGGGGAAATCACAGCAGATTCAACTTTGGGATTCATTACTAATCAATTAGATATTGAACAATTTGCTGATATTTTCTTAATTTGGTTTACTATGAACTTCTTTTGGCTATAGGGCGATGGGCGAACAACTGAACCTAACTGCAGATCCAAAAGTTCAAGTTCCAGCACTGCTGCTAATGGGCGAGAAGGATTACGTCCTTAAATTTCCAGGAATCGAAGACTACACAAAGAGCGAAAAACTGAAAAGTTTCGTTCCAAATGTGGAGATAATCTTTATGCCCGAAGGAACTCATTTCGTTCAAGAACAAATGCCTGATGAGGTTAATCAACTTCTCCTCAACTTCCTTCACAGCAACAGTTAATCGTGAACCTTCAACGAAGATTTCTCGAAATGCATTTTACGATTTGATTGTTGATCTATATTTGTTTGGGCTATTAACTGGTTATATTGTAATAGTTCTGTTTGTCTATGTGATAAATGTATAAGCCTATGACCCTAGGGTGTACTGATATTTGCACTTTTAGCAGCATGTAATTTGGATTTCTGGTACAATGTTTGTAGTCTAATGAATGGCTTGTTGTATATTTTCTACCGCCAAAGCTTGTAATTGATATATTATAGGGGGAATAATTAGTTATGAATTTCGGCACCCGAGGATGTAGCTTAGCTGTCAATGAAGTGGGTGAAGAATTATGAAAAACATTAAATTAGGTCTTCCCATTTTAAGTTTTGGTGGACATTCCATACCAAACAAGGGATAGTGATCTGAACACTTCTCTATCAACCCCCCAAGAAAATCCGTAGCCGGACCTCTGACCGATGAGGCTGCTGGTGAGGGGAATCCATCCCCCATGTGGGAAACCGCTCAGCCAACCAACTCAGTTTTTATATGCGATTTAGAATATATATTAGAGGCTGTTTGGATTGGCTTTTATGCTGTTCAAATTGGCTTTTAAGCTCTTTTTAGCTTTTTTCAGTGTTTGAAAATGTCAGAAAAGTGCTTAAAATAAGTTAAAAACTGCTTAAAACAAGTCAAAAGCAATAAGCTGGACAACCCCAACTTATTGCTTTTTGGCTTAAAAGCTATTCCTGCTGAAAAGCCACTTTTTTTAAGCCAATCCAAACGGGCACTTAGTAATATCTTCTTCCTTTTGTCTTGTTTTCTTTCCATTTACATTTCATTTTTCACAATTTTTTTTCAACTAAACAAAAAGGACATAAAGAAAAAATCTGATTCTTGTCAGTGGGAAAAAAAGTGATTCTTGTCAACCCCTTTCAATTCTTCTCTATGACTTCTAAACGTTGAAATTTTGGGTTAAAGGTAAAATTAATTTGTTGGAGCATCAATTTATAGAGCACAGACTTCATAATATTGTTTTAAATTTAAACATCCAATAATATAAACTACAAATGGATTTTAAAAAGTGGGAAAAGAAATAGTAAAGGAACTAATGATCCAAGAAGTAAATGATCTCAAGACTCTTAACACCGGCCAAACATGTTAATTATACATTTAAAATGTTAGGTTTGAATTTTAACAGTCTGTTTCATTTTTATTACTCTACACTTGTACAATAAATAAATCCTGAAATTAATATTTACTGAATCCAACATAAATAAAAGCCGTACATTATGCGAGTTATAAATCGTATTTAGAGAATGCTACTTAGAATCGCATTACTGAATACAACTTATTACTAATCTACAGCTACTGTAACAATCCTAAATTACTAATCTCAAAATTAAAAATTATACCAAACATGAAATAATACAATCCCAAATTTACCCGGTGGAAACACAGCAAGTAAGACTAACAGCTTGTTTGGATGATTGTTATTGTATTGTATTGTATTGTATTGTATTGTACTGTATTATTTTGTTGAGTACAACAATTGGATAACTTGTATCGTTTGTCGTCACTTCATGATGTTACACACCAGTAATATGAAGAAAAACTTATAATATCACAAAGAAAAAGTAAGGTACGGGTGTAGACATCGAAATTTTAATGGATCAAGCCAAATCCTAACTTAAAGATGCGACAGGACTCTTGAAATCCTAGGAGTCTATTAGGATTTCTTGGAAGTTACTCTACCATAACCCTAAATCAAAGCTATAAAAAGGGTCACATATTCCCTTTGAAGAGGCATCTCAAAAAATGGAGATCATCTCGAAAATCCCATAAACTCACGGGATATTCACAAAGAGACCAAGAAGTGGCCGGATAATTCTTAATAATCAAATACTTCAAGAACACCAACATACTTCATGGATATCAAATAAATCCATGAAAGCCCGCACTATCCTACGTTCGAGAAACACGTTATTCTAGCCCTCGAATCACGGAGATAATCAGGAGAGAAGAATCAAGGGGATAAACAGAATTGTTCCCGCGTCTTTTTATGAATAAAATTATGTTTCTTCATATTTATATTGTGGTTGCAATTTATTTTTGTATCACATATAATTTGTTGCAAACAAATTGGTACGCCCAGTGGAACAAATTCTGCCCTTCATCTCTTCATCCTGCAAGTCAAAAAACTACAAGTTTCAAATTCAACTTTTTTTTATGGCTATGTTCAAGGCTTAATGGCTTCGATAGATTCGAACACTTCATTTTCTTGGAGATGCCGGAAAAAAAAAATAGATCTCAAATGAGGACTGCAATCCAGGGGGCAACGTCTCCTGTTCAAAGCCGCAAAACTATAAGAAAGATGTCCAAGTAGTCTTCCGCGGAAGCCGCAAGCTAACGGAGAGGATGCTCCAAATAATCTCACCATAGCCGTGAAACTTCAAAGTGGAGTAAAGTATATTATTTCATCCATTGAAGGCTCAAATTCTGAGATTGCTGTCAAAATCAAGTATCACCTCGTGAGGATTAATTTGCGTAAAGTTTTAAAATAGCACGTCAAACTGGTGGTTGGAGACCTCATTTTGTTGGAGTCAAAATTCAACTGATATAGTGACTGAGCTACAGTGTTTGCTTGGTCACATGGATTTGCTAGTGTTTGCTTGGTCACGTGATTTGCCAAAGATAAAAGTTGCAATTGACGTGCCATATCTTTGCGAGGAGGAAAACTGATCCAAGCGGCAAAGTCCATGTACAACAAGATATTAAGTTCCTACAATTTAGTGCTACGTGGAAAGAAATTATTTGTATCATGTAGTTATTACTGAAATATAATTTTGGAGAAAGGCAGCTTCTTCATTGAACACAAAGACAACAGAAGTCCACGTGAACAAGAAGTGACGCAATGGAAAGAAGTCTACCACCCTGGTACTTCAAGTCTTGTCTCTCCTTTCTGCAAGTCCATGCCGACAAGCCTTGAAGTAGGAGGCATTTGTAGACATCGAAATTTTAATGGATCAAGCCAAATCCTAAATTAAAGATGCTACAGGACTCTTGAAATCCTAGGAGTCTATTAGGGTTTCTTGGAAGTTACTCTACCCTAACCCTAAATCAAAGCTATAAAAAGGGTCACATATTCCCTTTGAAGAGGCATCTCAATAAATGGAGATCATCTCGAAAATCCCATAAACTCACGGGATATTCACAAAGAGACCAAGAAGTGGCCGGATAATTCTTGATAATCAAATATTTCAAGAACACCAACATACTTCATGGATATCAAATAAATCCATGAAAGCCCGCACTATCCTACGTTCGAGAAACACGCTATTCTAGCCCTCGAATCACGGAGATAATCAGGAGAGAAGAATCAAGGGGATAAACAGAATTGTACAACCGTCTTTTTATGAATAAAATTATGTTTCTTCATATTTATATTGTGGTTGCAATTTATTTTTGTATCACATATAATTTGTTGCAAACAACGGGGTAGAATTATTATATAAAAGGTAGGATAAATGATAAATTAGGATTATTAATAATAAGGAAGGCACAAGATAAGAGAAAAAAAAAAAAGAAGGACTATACCAAATAGGTTGTTACATAAAGTATTGCTTTCGCCGTTATAAAACAAGGAATTTAACAATATGATGAATAAAATCTAAGTAACAATCAAAACAAATATCGTAATGTAAAATAATACTACGATACAATACCATAGGTAACAAGCATCCAACCAAATTGTAAAATTTTCGAAATCATGTAGTGGGCGTGTTGACATAAGAATTATGAAATTCCGGGAAAAAGTAAAATAATCTTTTACGTGAAAATAATATTTGAAAATTAGAGTTGTGTTTGGACATGTATACAATTTGGAGCTGATTTTAAACGGCAAAGGGTCAAATATACCCCTCTACTTTCAAATATTGTTTACCTGTACCCTTCGTTATACTATTGGGCTATCCATACCCCTACCGTCATACTTTGCAACAAAAATACCCATATTTTGGATGGAGTACCACGTGGCAGCACCAGATTAAAATGATCCATATTTTTTTTTACCCAACCCGTTTTACAAAAAACCCACAACCCGAACCATATTTTCATTTTTCAGTTTTTTTAAAGAATTTTCTTTTTGTAAAACTTTAAAAAGAAATTGCAAAATATTTTTATTTTTTTGAACTGAGTAGATACTGAAAAGATTTTGCAAAACAAATTGTAAAAACTGAAAAAAATTGTTTTTTAACAAAATATTTTTTTTTTGTAAAAACTGTAAAAACATATTTGTAAAAACTGAAAAAAAATTGTAAGGACTGAAAGGATAAAAATTCAGTTATTAACAAAATATTTTCGTTTTGTAAAAACTGAAAAAAATATTTCCAACAAAGTATTTTCGTTTTTGAAAAATGTTTTTTTTTCCTGTTTTTTTAAAGATTTTCTTTTTGTAAAAACTGAAAAAATAAATTTGTATAAACTGAATTTTTTTTTGTAAAAACAGAAAAAAAAATATTTTCGTTTTTTAAAAGCTGAAAAAATTATTTTCAACAAAATATTTTTTTTCATTTTTTCAGTTTTTAAAAAGAATTTTGTTTTGTAAAAACTGGAAAAACAAATTTTGTAAAAACAGAAAAAAATATTTTTTTGTTTTTTAACAAAATATTTTCGTTTTTTTTTAAAACTAAAATTTAAAAAAAAAACTGGAAAATAATGAAAATAGGGGTTGGGTTGTGGGTTTTTTTAAAAACGAGTCGGGTACAAAAAGGAAATGAGTCGTCTTAACTGGTGTTGCCACGTGGCACTCCATTCAAAATAGGGGTATTTTTGTTTCAAAATATGACAGTAGGGGTATAGATAACCCAATAGTATGACGGTAGGGGTATAGATAGCCCAATGTATAACGAGGGGTACAGGTAAACAATATTTGAAAGTAGAGGGCTATATTTAGCCCTTTTCCGGATTTATATTTTTGCGAGTGAATTGAAGTAAAACTTTTGAAAAATAGCTTTTTAGCGTTTTTCAAATATCTGACATTTTTTGAAATTCAACATCAAGTGAAATTTAAAATTTCATGGACAAACGCTGATTCTGAAAAGAAAAAAAAAAGAAGCAAAAATGTCCCAAAAAAATTAGATTTTTTTATGCCAAACGGGCCCTTAACCCAAAATTGAAAACAGAAAACATTACTAACAGTGTAAATACAGTAAAATTAATTTCTTCTTTTCTGTCAAGCAGTAAAGTATATAAAGGGGCAAAGATCCAAATACAACAGAAAGAACACATAATAAGAAGAGAATAATGGCTTCGTTTGATTCATTCAACATTGACGGCGGCTATGAGGAAGCTACAGTGGATCACGTCGATCCCTACGGATTCGGGTCGGATCCGTACCCGAACCAATCATCAACTCCTTTCGACGATACCTCCTCGGAAGTTCCGATCTCAAACGGAAATAGTGGGGCCTACGATCTCGGCGATGGAATATTCAACTCCGATGGACCTGTACTTCCTCCTCCTACGGAAATGCGTGAGGAAGGCTTTGCCTTACGCGATTGGCGAAGGTTAGTTTTCCTTTTTACTTTGCGACCAATTTATGTGACTGTTTGACTTACACGGAGCTTAAGAAAATAGACTTTTAGAGTTTGTGATCCAAAATAAGCCATAGATATCTGGCTTTAGAGGTCGAGCCAGGATTTGAAGGTTATGAGTTTTTAAATTACCTTGGAATTGATAACTTGTCCTTGTTAATGAGTTTGTAATCGAATGTTTAAACAGATATATTTAATGGTTTCTATTCTAAAGTTAAATTGTTCTAAATATAAAAATGTGACATTGTACATACTAAAAAGGAAAGAGTCATGTAAATTGGGACTCAGGGAGTACTACGATAGCTACTTCTTGATCCCCAGCTGGTTAGAGTCAACTGTATGAATCCTTAATATAATATCTGTTGAATATTGTGTATTCTTTTGATTAAAAAAGTTTCTGCAGTCAGAAGCAGATCCAAGATTTGAACTTTATTGTTTCGAGTTCGGGAGTCTACCACAATTCATTTGATTTAATGGGTTTGAATCAAATATTTGTACTTATTTGATGGATTTTTTAACACATATAAGGGGTTGAGCCAAAGTTATTGCCCGTACCTGTAACTCAACTCGCCCCTATATGCAGTTAGAATTTTCTTTTATTGATTTGGATTGTGTTCTGCATATGCTTTCCTTAGATATAAATGGTATTGTTTGATCTGTTGCTTTTTGGTAATGTTAGAACTGACAAGAATATCAATAAGATAGGCTTTATTTTTCCGTTTTAGATATCTGGAGTGAGCTTAGTTGGCAAGATTAAGTTGCTTGGACTAATCAGTTGCCAAAATTGTGACTTGATTCACCACTTTCTTTAATTATTTCTTTTGTGGGAGGTTTGCAGATCTGTTTTTGGATACTAGTAGATCTTCTAGTTTATTACTTTTTCTTCCGTTGTTATTGACATTTTTATGGGGGTAAAGCTCTTCATAATGATATCCTGGCAGAAAAAAAAAAAAGCATGGTAATGGAAAAAACTTGTTATCTTTTACATAGAGAATATACATGAAATACTAACAAAAAAGTAAGACCTGGTAGATAGAAAATCTCCTTGACTATATCCATTTAATTGTCCTTGTTAGTATTTCATGGATCTCTATGAAAACTCTAGTTGCTTTTGAGTTTTTGCTGTGGTTGAAGATAAAGTGTAAGAGCACAATGCTATTACTTTGAGCATATCTTTTAATGTTATTGTTCTGTAGTTCTTAGAGTGAATGCAGTAATATTCATTGTGATCTGATCCCCTTTTTTTTAGCTAGAAAATGATGGTTATACATCAATTTGAATGAAAGAAGTTTCTAAAGTGGTGCAAGTTTTGGTCTTCATAACTGTTAGTTAGATTTGGAGATCTTGTTTCCTTAATTATATTGCTAGCAAGAAACCTTGCAGTAGATAGAAAATTCTTATTAAATTTAGATTATATGAAAATGTTTATATGCTGTGGTGAAAAATCGGAGGGAAGAAATATGATGGTTGGTGTGAAGTATAATAAAGTGAAAGCTGTTTGAATTTTGAACTTTTCCCTCCTACCACTTCAGATCTTCAGAAGGCTTCCATTCGCTGATTGGACTGGCTGAGTTAGAAGTACGCCTTTTATGGCATGAGATCCTAGGCTAACTTCATATACAAAACTAAGTAAAACTTGTGCAAGGTACATTCATGATGCTTTTAAGTAACACTAATTAGGTAATGTTTGTTAGAAGGTGTTAAGAGATATATAAAATCCCACTTTGATTGTATAAAGGGTTTTATAATGGTTTTCGACTACTCAATCCGTTATCTTAAGGTTGGCTTGGATTGTCTAGATTCTTTCACAAGCCAAACTTTGGTAAGTGTGTTTGCCCGGTCATAAGTACATCCTCTCGTTACATTTGGCCCAATAATTTATTTTTTCTATCTATTTGGATTTCTTCCGTCAACTTAGCTTATTGAGCCACTAACTTAGCTCTTTAGGATACTTCTTAACCTATGAGCCTACCGTTGCAACTCCAGGTCCACTCTTCGGTTTTTTCTTTTTTTCTTTTAGATCAGTAAACAAGAGATACTATTAAATTGCCATCTCAAACAAGAGATACTATTAAGCTTATAGGTTGCAACCTCAATTTTGGGATATAGAACAACTATTCCCACTCCATGTTCTGGTTGTTTCAGCAACTTATTCATCTTGGGAATAATTGGTTATGCAAAAGCCTCTTCTCTTTTTGATCTTTCAGACTAATTTAAAAAGAAATAAGAAGGAAAAGTACGGGTGAACAGTGAGGTTGATGTGATAGGTATCCGAGTCCATTGGTGGTGTTGGCTGGATTTAAATCAGTTTTTCAATTTCCTATTCAGAGAACAGTTCATATTTGTTATGAAAATAGTAATTGTTCTCGAGTAATACTTTCCTTCTGTAGATTCCTTACAGTTTGTGTTTTGGTTGGGGATGCAGGCAAAACGCTATCCGTCTTGAGGAGAATGAGAACAGGGAAAAAGAAATCAGAAACCAAATTATTGAGGAAGGTGAAGAGTTTAAGAAAGCATTCTATGAGAAAAGAAAGCTTAATATTGAGACCAATAAGACCAATAACCGAGACAAAGAGAACGTAAGTCTTTTGGAAATTGCATTAGATCCGCAATACTCATCTTACAGAATTGCCTGTTTCTCTAAAAATTGACTTCTTTTTTTTTTTTTCCTTGTGGCAGTTGTACTCAATTAATCAAGAAAAGTTCCACAAAGAAGCTGACAAACAATACTGGAAAGCTATAGCGGAGCTCATTCCTAATGAGGTTCCTAGTATCGAGAAGAAGGGACGGAAGAAGGATCAACAAAACAAGCCATCCGTCGCAGTCGTCCAAGGGCCCAAACCTGGAAAACCTACAGATCTTGCAAGGATGCGACACATCTTAGTGAAGCTTAAGCACAACCCACCACCTCATATGTTGCCACCACCTCCCGCCCCTGCCAAGGATGTCAAAGCTGGGAAGGAAGGAAAAGATGCAAAGGGTGGGAAAGATGTCAAGAACACTAAAAAAGATGCGGCAGCTGACGGAGCTGCAGCTGCTGCTGGTGATGCACCTGCTAGTGATTCCAGTGTTGCTCCTCAGACATCAGAACCACCTCCTGCTGCTGTGAATGATCAACATGCTACCTAATTATTGTCCAATTGTATAATTTGTTGTGTGTTTTCCTCTATAAATTTCTTTCTTGATCATGATTTTTTTGACACTAGATATTCTGTGCTTTTCTCACATCCCATTGGTTCGAGGCAGCTGCAGCTGCATTTTGTTATTCTGAATATCATAATCTTTTATTGTATTATTGGAGTCCAGACGATTTCCATGTTCATAGGAAGCTTTCTCTCTCTCTCTCTCTCTCTCTCTCTCTCTCTCTCTCTCTCTCTCTCTCTCTCTCTCTCTCATGTTGTCTTTTTCTTTCTTTAATTTTTCTTGTGGATTTTGTGGTTGAGTTAGAGGCTCCATTTTGTATCCTCTCCTATTACTATGATTTTATTTGTTTTTGTGTCCATTCCAAAATGATTGGTAGCTTTCTATATTTAGTACTCCTTTGTTCCACTTTATGTGAACATGTTTGAGCGAGCACGAAGTTTAAAAAAAAATAAAAGTTTTAGAATTTGTGGTCTTAAACAAGTCAGAAAGGGGTCCAGAGTATTTATGCGGTTATAAAAGCTTCTCATTAAGGGGTAGAATTGAAAGGAATGGAGGGAGTAACTATTTTACTATTAAGCCGTAGCTTCTTCACTACATCCGCCCCTGTTGACACAAATCTATTTCGCAGGTGGCAGGTACCATGCTGTTTGTTAACACGAGGTAACGTATTTTGAAAAGCTTACTTTGACATTAGTAAGGAATTGGTATAACTAACATCAAAAGTTGGAGCATTTGAAACGTGGATCCCTCACTGGGCCCATTTATACTACTCCCTCTGTTCCAATTTATGTGAACTTGTTTGACTGGGCACGGAGTTTAAAAAAAATGAAGACTTTTGAAATTTGTAGTTCTAAAAAGTCAAAATGGGACCCAGAGTATTTGTATGGTTGTAAAAGTTTCTCATTAAGGATAGAATTGGAAGTTTAAGCTAAATTGTTTCCAAATTTAGAAATGGTTCATTCTTTTTGGAACGGACCAAAAAGGAAATAGGTTCACATAAACTGGAACGGAGGGAGTATAAGTTTGCATGCCAGGAATTGAGCATCTGTTGCTTTCTTTTTCTTTCCTTTCTAGTGCAGTGATTAGAACAAGAATCCAAACAAAACATAGCAGAAATGTAAAAGAGATCTAAAAATAGATTAGAAGTTTTACAGTATGACTTGTCTGATCATTTTAGTAGATACAAGAGACTGTTAGCCTCCAAACCATGTTCACTCTCAGTAAAAGGAAAGAAGAAAGTTTTGGACAATGTAGATTGATGACAACACGAGTTACTTTAAGGATAAAACCAGATAATTAGAACAAAAAATAGAAACATGATTTATTGAAATAATATCTTCCTAATATTTCTTTACACTAAGAAATTCCCTATGGTTTCTGCCCCAACTCCAATTTGGTGCAGATATTTGCAACTCCGGGGACTATAGGCATGCACTCTACCCTCTTCCCAACTTAAATACTAGGCTTGTTCGCGGCAGGGTCAAACTCATGACGTGTGCCTAACCACACATAATCACGTGTTGCGTCCTTATCATTGAACCTGTGAACCAAAGGCCCGCTGGCAATAATTTCTTCCCTAAATTACTCTTCTTTTGTAAAACTAAAGCTGTCAACTCATCCTGGATGAAATGTTCAGGTGCCATTCACTATTGATAAGTTGATTATCTAGGGATCACCTGAGTGATTGTAAGGGGGACAGAACTCATTTGATAACTTGTACTGCTTTCAGATGACTTCAGCTTTGATTGCGTACCACTAGGCCCGCCTGAATCTTGGAAAAATCCCGGTGGTGTGAGTTCGTTCTCATTTAGCTTGATGTTTCTTGTGAGCATTTCAAGAACCTGGCTCATCATTGGTCTTCGATTTGCATTTTCTTGTGTGCAAAAGAGAGCTACTTTAATGTACTTGATGACTTCTTTTTCTGGAAAATCTCCCAGTTCTGGATCAACTAATTCCAAAAGCTTTCCCTCTTCATAGAGCTGCCAGGCCTGGATGTTGTATTTCAAGAGTCGATTTCATAAATTCCCAAGAAGCCAAAACTAGCAAACTGTCATTACCTTGAAAATTCCACATTATTTAGCCTGAAAACTAGCAAAATCTCATCATATCTAAGTGTATTTTCACATTTCTTGGTGTTGCTTGCTCTTTGTTTATTTGAATGACTGGTCAATGATGTTCAAGACAATTATATGGCTGCCTTCCGACTTACGGCCTCTTTACGCTACTAGTATTATAATGTGAGTGGTTCAAATTATTATACATTACTAGTTTTTGGACACGTTCGTTGCACGTGTACCCCAAATCAACAACAACAACAACACACCCAGTAAAATCTCACTAGTAGGGTCAGGGGAGGGTAGAATGTAGGCAGACCTTACCCCTACCCCGGAAGGATAGAGAGGCTGTTTCCGGGAGATCCATGTACTCCAAATCAATCAGTATAAATTTTTGAAAATTACAAAATATTATTTTAAAAATTGTGATGTATAATATGAAATTTTAAGGGAAAAAGTTCAAACTCAAAACGATGAATGATGACCGATTTAACAGTTAAAAGAACAATAATTATATCGTTTTAACCTATAAAATTAATTAATTTTTGAATACACACGTTTCTATGTCAATCATTATTAAAATTTATATAAAATATATCTTGTGTCAATTATTATAAAATTAATATAAAATAATAATTCTAGCAACTTGCATACTCCATAAATATTATAGAAATAAATATCTCAAAAGACTAATATTTTGGAAAATTAGATTCATGGCCAAAATGGTGTAAGCAAGCTTGCACCGTAAAATTTCAATAGCGATGGAAACGACAAAATTACAATTCTGTCTACAAGAGTTATGTCTAAGAGTCATATTGGAAATGCAATGCTTCTCCGACCCTTTAAAACCTGATTTTAAATAACATGAATCCTTGATACAATCTCCTATTGCTGTAAAGTAGCATTTTTTTACCAATGACTACCATGCCGAATCAGCTCAACTTCCTAATATCATTTTCTGATTGCACTCTCGTGCATTTATCCCAATTTGGTGAAACAGGTTCTACCCTATTGTCTTATTCTGGTTTTTTTTCCCACTCTGAATCTAAATATCTCATCTTTGCACATATTTTTATTGAGACTCTTTCAAACAATTATGCCTTAGGGTCAAGTATATGAATTCTCTATATCCATTCCACTCTATTTGGCCTCATTCAGTCCACTACTGGTAAATCAGAGGTTCTGAAATCTCACACCTATCCCTATTCTAACATACAAAATGTCTAACCAGACTACAAGACTACAGGTAAACGACGGACCTAAAGTAAGTGTAATAACAACAAAACCTTAATCCAGACTCGTTTTAATTTGGCTATATAAGTGTAATAACAACAAAACCTTAGTTCAGACTCCTTTGCTTCCAATATGCTAAAACCAGCATTGATATCGGTGAAAATCCAACAACTGTTGACTTTGCACAAGAAAAGATAAAATCATATACTCCCCAATTAGGGATTTTTACAAGACAATATATTTATAGAAGCGGAATGAAATAAGTCCAAATAGAGCATAATGGATATATAGTATTCACATAACCATCAAAATCAGTTTGAAGGCGCATTTAGTTTATTGATGGACATATACTTATCAGAGATAGATTCACGCCTATTTTCTATAGAATCACATCTTGACGTGCCTGGCAATTTCTTGTTTCAAATTGACAATAAACCGCATATGTAAGTACTAGTTGCAGATGCAAGTAAACAAATCATGCAATAGACTGTTGATTCTATTGGCAAAAGGAATGGTAGATCTAGAAAGAAATTAAGGAATTTGAAAATCAACCCACCAATTCCAGGAGTAACTTCTGCCCTTGCCATGCACCACTGCCACTGCTCCTGCCACTTACTGTTTCAAGTACTAGGACCCCAAAACTGTAAACATCAGCCTTGGATGTTAATTGACGGCCTATTACATATTCGGGTGCCAGATAGCCACTGCACGGAAGAGCAAAAGGTACAGAAGTAAGAATACTACTTTCAATAACCCCATAGTACCATTTAAATATTTTTAAGCGGGACATTTGTCGGAGACCTATGTACTCTACAACACATATAATGCAAAACTTTGGTAGTTTGAAGTAGATGCTATAAAATCAGCTACCTTTCTTAGTCAACACAATGTGTAAAAGCATAGAGCAAAAGACATGGACTTCTCAGGAAAAATATACATATTTATCAGGAAAAGGAGTAGTAAGATGCAATTAGGAACAGTTGCCCTTGATTCTTGAGCACTGGAAGTGATACAATATAATAAACACAGTTTAGACCAGACAGTTCTTCAATGACAAAAGAGAATCAACTTAGATATGGCAATAGGCAAGGTATTGGCAGGTGCAAAAATGTCTTCTAATCTTTTTAAACAGGTGCATCTAAAAGATCTTAACGATACAAATCCTCCACATTCAGGCATGCCAAACTCACAGATGAATGGTGATTTCAAGTTACAAGCTAATGATCTACTCATTGGTATTTGCACACTTCCTATTGACATCCACAATAATTTTGTTAATCTTCTTCCATGATTTATCCAGTAAGTCACTTCACAAGAATCTTGATAGACAAAGACTCCAGATAGAAAAATGGCAGATGCTGAAGCACCTAGACAACTCTTTATGCTTGGGGACAGTTGTATAGAGGCACTATCTTCCACCCCTTCCTTTCACGTTAGCTACAATTGCAGCAACTAGCATCTCACAGGAAGTATAACTTATACTAAATCTCTCTATTAAGCAAAGTATAAAGGTCCGATTTCAATCAACGGAAAACATTGAAGCTTCAACAATAAACTCAGAAGACATACGTGGTTCCTTTTATCTGCGTGGTGATGTGAGTGATATTATCTGGAAAAAGCTTTGCAAGTCCAAAATCTCCAATTTTTGGTTTATAATCCTTATCAAGCAGTATATTACTAGCTTTAATGTCCCTGTGCACTATATGCGGCACTAATTCTTCATGTAGATAAGCAAGACCTCTAGCAGTACCCAAGCAAATAGCGGCCCGTGTGTCCCACTCTAATTTAACATTGCTAGTCCTAGAACCTGCAAAGCAAGAACCATTTCAGTAACCCATTCCGTACATGGTGAAGTATTCTTTTGATTTCAAACTAATTTACCAAACAGTGCTCGATCAAGGCTCCTATTTTCTATGTATTCGTAGACCAAGATCCGGTTAGTTCCATCAAGACAGTATCCAATCAACTCAACTAGATTGGGATGTCTGACATCTGATAGGGTTTCAATTTCTGTCGAAAACTCACGCAACCCCTGCCTTGATTCGGCAGAAAGTGTCTTCACAGCAACTTCTATTCCTCTTTTTAGAGTTCCCTACAAAGTCACACTAAAGTTAATAACCATTCAACAAACATGTCAATGCACCACAAGAGTTAAGTCCAAGGACCTTGTTATTCACTAGAAGTCTCGATCTCATATTACATATATGCTAAAACCATGAAATGACACTTATAAGAGTAAAATGTTTATAAAACATAACTTAAGAAGCAGAAAATGTGAAAATCAAATAACATAATAACAAGTTTGTGATGCAAAATTTTGAAGAATTGCAGATAATATATCTCTACCTATAAATAATAACACAAAGGTCTAATAGTTTCAGCAATGCAATTCTGTAAATAGCACCATGCAAATTACGTGCAAATGCAAGTTGTTCGTGTAATAAAGCTCAGGCATGAAAAGGAAGAGAAGTATTTATAGAATAGAGTTGAACCTTGTATACTGTCCCAAAACCTCCTTGCCCTATTTTGTTCCTTTGATGGAAGTTGTTGGTTGCTATTCTTAATTCACTATATGAAAATTTCTTTGTCTTTGCAGTGGAGCAGCCTGACAGAAAGGAAATATTAGTGTGGACATGAAACTGAAGAACAAAAGGGAATGACTAAATTGTTGCAGAAAAAAGATGGATAGAAGGAAATTTTCAGCAACAAAATGTGATGCGACAAGTATTTGACCAAGAATAAAAGTTTCATGGTTGCCCCCAGAAACTAAACTAGATGGAACTTTTTCATCCTTTAACTGTGTCATCATTGATGCAGGGCTCTGTATAACTTCTCACATATCACTTGGTATAGTGAACTTTTTTTATCAGAAAAAGTAATAGTTGTGCCACTTGACTGACTGCCTTATCCTAACCACTTATAAGATGATTTTAGACAGATACCTGAGCAAGTTAGTGAGCAGGGAATACTCAAAGTTTCCCTTCTCGACTCTTATATGCTATTCTGTGATTAAACCTACCACATCAGTTCATGTTCGGCAACTACTCACTATTCAGACCCTGGAGCAAATTTGGACCAGTTTTTAGTTCTAGTTAGGAACAAGATGAAATCGTGTTTTTCTTTTGAAATCCACCTATGTGGGCCTTGTAAAGCATACTGTGTCCCAAGCCGGATAATACATGAGAAGGGTTGTAGTCACCTAACAACCAGCGTAAAAATAGTCTAATTACAATGAATTCTCCAAACACCGAACAGAGCAGCCACATTGTCAACCCCATAAGTAGGATTGAAGTGTAGTTGATCAATTGACGTTTTCTTTTCTTTTGGGATTAAGGGCCAAGTACAAATTGGCCCCTTGGAGCAAACTCAATCCAAACGCCAACTGCTTCTAGAACATGTCATTATCTATATAGCAAACATATTAATTATATTTATCAAGTACCAAAATATTCTTGTAGAAATCACTCCCTTCATTACACATCATGAATTTCTTCAATTGGGAAGGAAATAAAGGCTGACTGACTTTTAATATTGCAATAACCTAAATTATGTTTGACGCTTGTTCAATCTGGTGCATAAATTACAGAAAGCGGGTCAATTAGCTCAAAATAAGTAATGATAAGTGCACTGGAGGTGTTAAACAGCTTGTATCCAGTAACATTGGGTGTAAGAGAATTTCAGAATAGCAAGTATACAAAGACAGAAGCAATACAAACAATTTGATAACTAGAAAAATGAAAGAGAAAAGAATGAATTGGCATTATCCACAGAAAATTGCAACCACCGTGATAAAATGACAATGCCACATCCAGACCAACCAGCTATGTAGGAGTATGAGGGTTAATGCTGAAGGCAATAAAGTTGTGAAAAATTCATCAAACGACTAAATAAATCATGCAACTGAGAAAAAACTGATCAGCTAAAATCCAAGTTCCAACTATGCACTAACCTCCAGTGTCTGGTGCATCTTTATGAACATGATCAACACCCCTTTTCTTCCGCACCGTTGAGGCACCAAAGCAGCTGCAGTTCATTTCAATCCGGACTTTAGTAGGTCAATCTTCTTACTTGACCGATAATCCCTCCTGACGTGTGAATTACATGTTAGCCTTCCCCAATTTTTCTGTGACAGATGAAAATGTTCACTGTTCTTGAGATATATTCAAATCAAAAAGTTGTCAGTTATCTTGCTTTAAAAAAACTGAGTAGTGGAATGAACCGGACCAAAAGGAGAATGGATATAGAATTCATATAACCAACACCAACTAGTTTGTAATTGAGGCGTACACCAATTTTAAAAGAAACATATTTTATAACCAAATCCTATGGCTCTGCTACTCAGGTCAACCATTGAAATTTATGCATTCTACAGTAAAAATATTAAGTTTTTGTATTAAGTTTCTTTTGAATTAAGTATGAAGGAAACAATTAGCTAAAATTCAAAATTCCCCGTACCAAAAAATAAAAAGAAACTATAAAGCACATATATGCATAAGTCAGTATATGCACATGCATCACATCCTACGAAAATGATTTATTAATAAGATCGGTTTTGAACCCTAAAAAAGGGCAGCCCGGTACACTAAACTCCCGCTATGTGCGGGGTTCGGCCCTTTCCACGGCTTACCCTGCATTTCTGCAAGAGGTTGTTTCCACGGCTTGAACCCATGACCTCCTGGTCACATGGCAGCAACTTTATCTTTTTAAGTTTTGAACCCTAAAAAAGATAAATAAATGCATCATGTATAAGCTTTTTTCATCTAAAAATAAATGAGCACGTTCTATATTTAATATCCCCGCTTCAATTTATGTTAATCTATTTGACTTGGCACATAGTTTAAGAGAAAAAAAAAAGACTTTTGAAACTTGTAGTTGTAAACATGCCATAACATCTGTGTGACTATAAATCTTTTGAAACTTGTGGTGTAAAATATGGCATAACATTTGTGTGTTTGAAAAAACTTCTCATTAAGAGTTATATTGAAATCCAAAAATTAAGAGTTTCCTTAATAGGAATGGTTTTATTCTTTTTTGGGATTAAAAATAGAGATAGGTTCACATAAACGGAGGCACTAGCCTATTTTAAAGTTTTTAAGTATTCTAAGCAAATGTACCAAAAATCGAAATTCTTGACTAATCATATCACCATTCTGCAATTTGCTCTAAATTAAAACCTCTACCTCAGATCAGTGTTATCAAAGGCGAAAAGCTCAAAAAAGCTCTAAGGTCTATTAGGGCTTTAAGCGCAAAGCGCAAATAAAGCGTGGCACAAATGGAGAAAACCGACAAATATGTATGTGTAGTCCAAGACTAATATCTATAAGCATGAATACCAAATATATGGACAAAGAAATTGAAGAAAATTAATGATAAAGTGAAATATCAATTGTTTAGTGTCGCCTCTTCAGGATTATGCTCATTGGCAATGAAAAGTATGCCTTACAGCCTTGATGGCAAAACTGAAGCGCCCGCTAAGCGACGCGAAGCGCTCAACATGTTTTGAGTCTCGCTTCAGGGCTTAAGCGCGCCTTTGACAACACTGCCTCAGATTCAGCTTAATCACTTCAAACTCATCTGATCATAAGCTAATTAACTTATCTACTGTTGATCAACAAAGCCAGCAATTTTTAACAGTTGCTGGAAAAAAAACAATATTCACCAAAATCAGGAGAACAAATTGTAGCTAGCTCAATTCAAATCCTGAATAATAACTCAAAGTGTGTGTGTGTGTGTGTGCGCGTGAGAGAGAGAGAGAGAGAGAGGGAGAGAGAGAGAGAGAGAGAGAGAGAGAAGAATCGTTACGTACCTTAGAATTTGGAAAAAACAGAAGAAGGAGGAGGACAAAATAGGCGCGTAGGTTTATGACAGGGGAAAACGACGTCGTGTGGAAATGAAACGAAATGATCAGCAACAGTAGTAGACGAAGAAGAAGAAGACTTTTATAGCTTTGCTTTTCAGGCATTTTTTGGTGAGGTTCAACTGTGAAAGCGATGCTCAGTTCTATTTTGCCATTCTGTCAAACGCTGTATTCTCAACTACTAGGATATTCTCCCTCTGCACAACTCTTTGTTTTTTTTATCTTCATATTTTTTTGGGGGGGGGGGGGAGAAATTTAAAAATAGTCAGATTTACAAGTGGTCATTTAAAAATAACCACAGTTTCAAAAGCGATCCAAATTTAGACATTTTTCATATAAAGATAAATCTACACAAAAACACTGTTCACAATCCGGAAAAATGCTCCAGTATAATATACTGGAGTTCCAGTATAATATACCGGTCCAACATAATATATTGGAGATTAGAGCACTGGTGCTCCAATCTCCACTATATTATACTGGAACTTTCCGCTTGTTGGAGTTCCAGCATAATACGCTGGAAGTTCATACACAGGTGCACCAATTTCCAATATATTATACTAGAACTTTCCGTGTTGCAGCAAAATAGTGACTATTTTTTAATGACTTTGCAAACGATGTTTATTTTTGAATGACCAGTCCAAAAACTGGCTAGCCCGTGCTATTTTTACTTTTTTTTTGTCAGCAACAATCATTATGAATATATAAAGATAATATTATGTCTAAACTAGATAATTAAGGCTGTTGATTTTTTCAGCATATGAATGTATTTATTTTATCTTTTATTATTTTAAATTAGTACTCCCTTCATCTTAATTTATGTGGCAGTGTTTGATTCACCCCGAAATTTAAGAAATAAAGGAAGATTATTAAAACTTATAGTATAAAATAAATCTTTACGTGACTGTATATCAATTCGTTGAAAGGTAACATATAAATTCTAAAGATAAATTATTTCTAAGTAATGAAATGTGATATTCTTTTTGGAATTAACTAAAAAGGAAAAAGTGACACATAAATTGGGACGAAGAGTACTATATTTTAAAATTCAAGTAAATTAATAATTAAATATTATATCCACAAATTATTAGGAATAATCTTAATTTTACACGGTGTTCTAAACGAACTTATTTAATGAAACACAATGTAAAGATAAGCAACAACGGTAGTAAAAGATCATATTTTATAAAAATCTTTAAGTGAATAAAGACTTAATAATGTTAAGGATTGTGAAAAGTTAGAATGACCTAAATATATTGAGAACAAATAAGCTAAGCAGTCATAAAAGAAAAAAATAAACACACTTAATAAATTGAAATGTGAATGATTCAGACGCAAACCCCATTAAGTAAAAATAAATGAATATTCGAGCTCATGCAATTATCCTTGAATTTTATCTCTTGATCACTGATTTATTCCCCTGGGAAGACTAATTTTAACCTAAGAACCTCATAATCTCAGCATATTTATCTTGATGTAACGTTAATAAATTTCTAGTGGGTAACAAAAATTTTACAAGTAATATTTTCATTTAGTCTCAAATTATTTGTCACGGTTTATTTGAAAGGTTAATTTGATCTTTTATTATGTGAACATGCATAAATTTGTTAATAAAATAAGATTTAATTTTTTTATTACTTAAAAATATTTATAAATTAATTTTAAATTAAATAACATTAAAATTATTGTACAAAAGTCTTGGTTATTGGCAAAGTTGAGATGTTCAACTGGTTATTAACAAAACTGGTGAGAAATTCAAAAATAGTTAGATTTACAAGTGGTCATTCAAAAATAGCCACGGTTTCAAAAGTCATCAAAATTTAGCCACTTTTCATGTAAAGATAAATCTGAATGAAAACACTGTTCAAAATCCGGAAAATACTCCAGCATAATATACTGAAATTCCAGTATAATATACGAAAACCAAAATAAGAATAACGAAGAAAAAGACATCGTGATGTAAGTCTGGAACTCCAGTACAGTTCCAGTATACTTTGCTAGAAGTTCATGCAAGTATGGAACTCCAGTACATTTCCAGTATACTTTGCTAGAAGTTCATGCACAGGTGCACCGAACTCCAGTATATTATGCTGGACCGGTCTCTGTAGCAGCAAAATAGTGACTACTTTTTAATGACTTGACAAACGCTGGCTATTTTTGAATGACCAGTCCGAAAACTGGCTAGCCCGTGCTATTTTAACACAAAATTGAGGTGTCTAACTAACGCTTTCGCGCCAAGTTTGAGGGGCTATCTATATGTTTGGGCAATTGGCCAATAATTAAAGTCTCTAGTTTTATTAGATGAGCTAGCCTTTCTTGTCCAAAAGAGAGACAAACTTGATTGATTAGGCTATAGAAAATTATGACATTATAAATTGTTCGTATACTTTTTGTGAGGAACTTTAAGCGAATTTTTTTATTAATATGGAAACTTATAGGAGCAAACTAAGAGAGAGTCTCATCTATACAAAGGTTAATCCCCAAAATGAGTAGTACAAAATAAAGAGAAAAAAAGGGCTAAAAGAGACAATCTTCCCATTTAGGAACCTCAAGTCAATTTACAAAGCCTAGGTCCATTTGGAAGATGAAAATGCTTGAAACACAATTAATAAAACAGCAGCAAATAACAAAGATAACAAGTCTTTGTTTATATAGCCTTTTTTTTTTAATGAGGTCTAAATCATGTCTATTGGCCCCAATTTGCCCAATTTGCTGCACTTCCAACTCTTGGCATGCTATTCACTTTTGAGTAGACATCAACCTTGAAATAAGCTCCACACATTGATCCTTCACTATCTACTCTTGGCATTGCTTTCATCTTGTAACTTGGATGCTCATAGCTCTTTAATCCTGTTTCACAATGGTACATGCACCCTACAAAAACATCAATCACATCCAACATTAATATTTTGACAACGATTAGTTCCAGAGGTAGAGCTAGAATTAGAAGTTTATGAATTCAGAATGTCATTAAGAGCACTGACTATTTGAGTTACTGGGTTCGAAATCTAATAATTGTATATATTTAGTAGATTGTTTAACACATATATCGAACTCGAGCCGATAGTCGATCAAAAACAACCTCTTTACCTTCACAAAGGTAGGGTAAGGTTTGCTACACACTACCTTTCCCAGACCCCACTTGTGGGATTACACTAAATTTGTTGTTGCTGCTGTTGTATACTGGATTCGAGCCAAAAGCTAATAAGTTCAGCCGAACTCATTACTGATATGCAACCTCCTTTGTTGGTTAGTTCTAATTGTGTAATGTAGTAGTTTTTATCATATCTGAGAAATTTCTTGTGAACTTCTGGCCTGACTCCAATTGGCGTAAAGGTTTGAAATTCCGAAAAATATGGACTCGCCTTCTACCCTCCTCCCACTAGGCTTTGTTGTGACAAGGTTTGAACATGTAACGTGCGCCTAACTTACACATTATTTGTTAAATCCTTGCCACATGCTTACCGCACCTAAGCCCTAGGGCTTGCGCAATTTATTTTTGTTTTTGTGGCTCAATGCAGGCAATTACTATTAAATTTGAGCTACATACCAGCAGGGAAGGGAGCAAATGATTTGATACAACTTGCTTTAATGTGATCCACATTATCAGATATCATAACAGATCCATCATAAGCTATGCCCCAAAATAGCTTCACCTTTTCATCAGCACCCTATCCATTAACACCATTCATGATATTGATTAGTGACCCAAAAAAAAAAATCATTACCTTACAAAAATAAATAAACATATATTCAAAAGACCGAGTCAGAATTTGAAGTTTGAACATTCGAAATCCTGATCCTTTCTAAGTTCTAAATTAATAATTTGTACATATATAATAAATTTTTTAAGACAAGTATAAAATTTAGACCAAAACTACTGGATTCAGCGGAACCGTAACTTAAACTCTAGCTCCGCCCCGACATATATTTCTGTATTCTACAATATATAAACTTACCAAGGCAACAAAGACTGTATCAGCCTTGTGATCATAGATCACAAATCCAAAGCTACCTTCAAGATCCTTGAGAACCTCATGGGCCGGGTATGGGCCTCTGTCACGGAGGGTCCGATATGCTTCACTTACAAGCATAGCCTCGTTGGCACATTTTGATAGGCCATAATGTTTGTTTAAGGCACATAGGTTGTTCAAACTTCCCAAGAAAACACAATATATGTCATTCACACCACAGAACAACCTACAAAAATTCAAATAACTTGCATTATTTCCCCTATTCATAGTGAAAAATTACAAATTAGGGAGAATTCAAGAACAGATAATCAAAATTTTCTTATTAAAGAACTGGGATGGCAAACGAGGCGAGACAGGGCAAGGCAGAGGATGCGAACAGAAGCGGAGCCAGGATTTCAGCTTTATGGATTTTGAATCTTAGTACTATAATTTTAGGAGCTACTAATTGGGTTCTAAATTTGTAGATATTTAATGAATTTTTTTAACACAAATACATTGAACAAAAGCTACTGGGTTCAACCAAACCTGTATTCAAGCTTCTAGCTCCGCTACTGAGTGAAGCCTCAATCCACCCATAATTTTAACTTTGTCCCAGCCACCCATCCAACCCGCATAAATTAAAATAACAGGTTGATGCATAATTCATGTATAATATGTGTATAACCAGTATATAATATGTATATTGGCTAGAAAAAATAAAACATAAAATCTAACCGGCTATTTCTGTAAAGATCCCTGACATTTTGATCAAATCACCATGATTAAGTAATTTATTAAGGTGAAAATATATTTTTTAATTAACCATGATCATTAATAAACTAAGAAAAGTATATGTGCAAACAACATATAACATATTTATTGATTTGGTATAAACAGTTTGTAAAACGAAATCTTTAGGAGAGAGGATCAATACCTTTGGAGAGTGTTATATGAACTTGCATGATTAGAATATGCCAATAAAGCCTTATCCATAAAGCCAATAGAAAATCCATTATTTGGATTTGCAGATAAGAAATTCTTCATAGTTTCTTCAGGAGATGCAGCTTTGATTGATGCTTGTAATGAGGCTGGACTCTGCAATTCCTTTGGTGGATCAATAACACCTTTCTTGAATATTGCCAACATTTTTCTTGCCTTTTTTTGAATGGGAAAATACAGAGATCTAACAAAAACAATGTAATATACAAAGACACAAAATCAGTCAATTAATATTTGGTAGAATGGATAATGAAATGGTGTGTGATTTTGTTGAGTATTTATAGGAAAAAAAAGAAGATTAGATTGAAAGATAAGAAGAGACAGAGGTGTCAGCATTATCCATTACGAATCTTGAAATGGGGTAAAAGTTATTTTAAAATTGGAGATGTCGATCACTGAATTTTGTGAAAGGAAAAGAAGAGTGCCAATCAATTCTTGAATTCAGGAAACCTGAAAATTTTAAATGGTTTTTATTTGTTGGGTCACATGTATTTGAGGTGGAGGTGACTATGGTAATAGCATTTCAATCTTATTTTTTAAAATCATTTAAAAAAAAAGTAATTCGATGCACAAAAGTATTTTATATTCACACAGAATGGGGGAAGAGTCGTACCCATAGGGATGTGAGGTAGACAGTTTACCTTAATACAAGCAGATGCTTTAAATCCGTGACTTATAGGCCACGCATGCACAACTTTAAAAAGGAATCTATGTATTTTCATATTTAATGCATAAATTTTTAATATTTAGTATTCCTAATTTATTCTTTATACTCTCTCCGATCTACTTTATTGATTTTTTTGGATATTTTCATAAATATTAAGGAATCTATCTTTTAGCATTAATTAACAATAAAATTGACGATATTAACTTTAATTTGTTCATTGAAAATATAATAAATATTCCTAGACTTTTTACTCCAAGGACAATTTTGAAAAAAAAAAGTTAATTACTTTTTGATATCTGAAAAAATTAAATATTATGGAACAAAAAAAATTAAATAAAGTGGATCGAAAAGAGTAGCATTTTATTCAGATATTTATTTTTCACCCTTTAATTTTGTACATTAAGATATACTAAAATGAGGAAAAGGATCGTGGTTGTTAGATTGTTGTTGGAGAAAAAAGATTTGTTTAATAATTATTCGAGAAAAAAGGAAAGAAAAGTTGAGTATAATGTGGGAGGAAATACGAGGAATTGGTCACCAGTAAAGAGTAGAGCTTATCCATAAGCATAAACACAATGAATTGAGTTTGACACGAATCCTAGTCAGCGAATCCTTCTTTTACTGTCTGATTGGATAAGATTTTCATCTGTCTCCTTCTGACATTTGTACACACTTTCTCACTTTTCTTTATTTGGGAACCTTATTCTTATTTCTTTTTAATTATTTCTTACCTGATATTCGACTATTTGTTTTGAATGTTATCAAATTCGATAAAGAAGTACTTATCACTCCATCATAATTTTTATTGGTCCCTCGTTCTTATTCGTGTTTACTAACGGACACAGGGGCAGATCTATCATGGCAGTTACGTGTTCGGCCGTACTCAGTAACTTTTGTCCAAATCCTATATTTATCTAAGAAATTAATTAAAAATGCATAAATTATTAATTTAAAATATAGTAACTTAAAAATATTAGAATCTTAAACTATTAGCTTCAAATTCTAGCTCCGCCTCTGAACGAATGACGAAGCCTCGAGAAAAAGGGATATATAAAATTGTTCTAATTAATAGAAGTTGTTCATTTGGTACAAACTATAATTTCTTTGACAATTCAAATGTGATTGGTTCACAATCAAAGATTGACTGTATTAAAAGGAGGAGATGTAGTGGGCATTTGGCCATAGAAAATTAGAGTTGTATTTGAACATTGAATATAATTTTGGGTTGTTTTTGAATTTTTGTGAGATCTGAGTGAAAATTTTAAAAAAAATAGTTTTTTTGGAGTTTTTACATAAAAATTAAAAAATTTATCACAAAACACTAATTTCGCAAAAAAATAAAAAAAATTCGAAAAAGTAAAAAAAATTCCATGGCCAAATGTGCTCGTAGATCGAAGCATTTTACCTTCTATGATTATAAGGTGGAATGTGTGGTACCTCAGGAAAATTCTTGTATAAATCCTGTGTGAAAACGGTTGTTTTATTGGCTATTACTTGCACCGAACTTTAACTGTATTCTACTTACTTTACGACGTTATTACCTGCTTGCTCCTTGTTGTTAATTATTGTTTTTAGTTCTTTTTGCAAGTATTGCAATATTTTTTTTTTACCATGTTTAGCTTTATATTGTCCCTTGTTAGTTGTATATTCATACTTATACAAGTTATTATGTCTAATAGGTGTCATAACTGTTCCTCAGCACTACTCCACCGAGGTTAGTATTGATATTTACTGGGTACCACTGTGATGTACTGATGCTACGCTTGTTGTACATTTTGTGCATATCCAGGTACCTCGGAGCATGTTGATCATTAGTTAGTTGATTGTGAGTCGCGGAGACTTAAGGTATACCTGTCGTCGCATTCGCAGGCCTCAGAGTCACCTTCTGAAGTTTACTTTGTACTGTTTATTTCTGTTCTGGAACAAATGTACTTAGAGATTTTCTAGTGAACTCAATAGAGCTTATGAATTGTACTATCAGTTTTGGGATGTCATATATCTACTTTGGGTTGTTGGCTTTATATAGATAAATCTGTTTCATGTTTAATAGTTAATTGGTTAAATTCTGTTATTAATTCCGTAAGTGTTAGGCTTACATAGTCTTAGAGACTAGGTGCCATCACGACTCCTAAGGAGGGATTTTGGGTCGTGGCAATAAATGACTTGTGGGAGTCATGAGTACCACTAGTGTTGTTTACATACTAATCAACAACAACAACAACAACAACAACATGCCATTATATTCCCAACAGGTGGGGTCTAGAGAGGATAGTATGTACGCAAACCTTACCCCTACCTAATACAGATAGAGGGGTTGTTTTCAATAGACTCTCGGCTCGGAAAGAAGAAGAAGAAGAAGAAGAAGAAGAAGAAGAAGAAGGAGAAGGAGGAGAAAAGCAAGAAATGAAGAGAGAGGATTGCTTACATACTAACCAAAGCCAAATAAAGTTGAATATTCATATGCGATAAAGGATAGGAATAATTGAGTCATTTTCTTATTCTTTTAATATTTATGACTTTAAAATCAATAAAACTTTGTTTACTTTATTAAATTATTTCCTTTAATGTAAGTGATTTGTAATGTATATTGATTATGAGTATGAGCAAGTGATTGACATTTGTGCTTATTTTTCGTTTTTTTTTATGAGTTCTAATATGAATAAGATGAAATTATATTAGGTAGAATTTATTTTTTAAGGCTATAAAGGATATAGTGTTGTTGCATGATATTTAAATATAAGTCAACATATTATTTGATATTGTTCGAGCTACTAAAGCAAATAGACAACTTATATCAAAGTTATGATAATGCATTAAAATACTTTTGTGTGACATAGTTTTTTTTTTACTTTTTAAAGTTGACTAAGTACGGTTGATATTAATCATTTTCAACAGCTTGTGCTTTTTAAAAAAAAATTATACGATAAATAAATCACATAGTTTAATATTTTTATGTGAGATTTAAAATTCCATACTCAATGAGATAAAATAGACATAAAACTAGTTTCATAAAATTAAATAGGAGTTCCACTAGTACTACTTTAGTTTGCATCCAAAGATGTGAAGGCAAGCATATAAACGCTTCACAAGATGCATCGTGTTAAGGCCATCTCCAACCGTTGCCTCTATTTTATCCTCCAAAATGGAGTAAAGTTATTCCAATCATTACTCTATTTTTTACTCCAAAAAAAATATTCCATTTTATATTCTTCTCTCTCTTCAATATTATATTATTATCTTTTAGCAACATCTAATATTTTATATTTGCGCCATTCATTTTTTGAGATGATTATATATTTTTTGTACTATTATAACTTATAATAAAATTAGCTTACAATTTTACATAAAAATAATAAATGCACGAAAAGTAATTTATCAAAATTATATGCCAAAGTTAAGATATAAAATTAATATTATAAAGATATCACATAAACATAAAGGTATATATAAAGAGATAAATTAAAAGAGTTAAATAATAATAATAAAATAAGCATGAATAGTAATGGAGGAGATGAATAGTGTCACTTCATATTTGGAATAACACTATTCATCCCCCATTTTGGGGACAAAAGATGGGGAAGCATTGGAGCTCCATTATGGCAAAAAATTGCCCCCATTATGGGGAAATGGGGAGGGTTGGAGATGCCCTAAGAGTATTTCGTGCACAGGTAAGTCTAAGAGTACTCCCTCCGTCTCATAATAAGTGTCGTGGTTATTAAAAATAGTTGTCTCAAATTATTTATCATTTTAGAAGTTCAAGACAAAATTGATTATATTTTTCCTTTTTCACCCTTAATAATCAATTGCATTCACATTTAGTAAAAATATGGATAATGTCATTGATAGAGATGACACATAAATTAAGAAAATATTTAATAAGGGTAAAGTAGTCAAAAACTATTCTTTCTTAAGGGGCGTGCACAAGAGAATCACGACACATATTATGAGACGGAGAGTATATTTCTTTATAGTACAACAAATATTTGGGACACATGTACTTCTTCAATCAAGTACAGATAAATAATTACAATTTCAATTAGGGATGGCAAATGGGGCGGTGCGGGTTTAAGGCTATTCGGGGCGGGGCGGGTTCAAAACTATGCGGGTGCGGAGCGGGGCGGGTGCGGGGCGGGTTTAAGCCATTCTTTTAAAAACTGATGCGGGGCGGGGCAGGTCAGGTTGCGGGCCTTTGCGGGTTTAGACAATCTTTTTATAATTTTCTTTTTTTTAAGTCATATCAAGTCATTAATTATCTTTGGTATCTTTGGTTTATGCAGGGAAATTTCTATTTTGTGCAATAACTGCAACAAAATTTTAATGTGCATGTGAATCTATTACACTACGTACATAGATACCTACTATCTCTGGTTCGAATAAATATGTTCAAACTTTAGCACAACAGGAGAAGTAAATGCAATATTCTCTATAAGAAAGGTGGCAAATTATTCTGCTTATTAAATTTTCACATACTACCTACAAAATAGAGGAGCAAGACAAAGTAAATCGAAATGCACTTTCATATGCAGTACTAATCCTTTTCCTCCCAAATTTTGGTTTACAGTGGCGTTAGAGTTAATTAATATTGCTCTAAGAGT